TCAAGCTTTTCATCGTCAGCTTCATTTTCACGTCTCTCTTTCCCCTTTGCATATTCGGTATTTTCGATTGCCGGTTTAATCGGGGTAAAGATGAACGGGATAAAAGAACGATTCATTTGTCCGCTGATTAAATCGTTCGACGAGGATCGAAAACGATTGTTACAATCGAATATTTTAATCTGCATACACGATTGTTATTTTGATACATACATTCAAATTGATGGTACGATAGAAATATATCACGGTTTCATCGTACATTTCGTCTTTCTCTGTCTTTTTCGATTCTTCTCGGTGAATTCAATCATTTTTAAACTTAAAATATTTAATTTTTCTGTAAAAGAAATCGTAATGATATATTCTTTATTCGCGTAATAATTTTAAATATTTTTTTCTTCGACTTCACTATTTTGAACGAGTTACTATTATTATTGATCGACGAAAAGCATTTTTATTAATTTATGAACAGAAGAGGAATTGAAGAAGTAGAAGAAATAAGTGGAAGAAAAAATTAGATAATGATGCAAAAAAATTAAGTGTAAAGAGGAATAACGAGAATATTAATTCTTTGGATATATTTGATGAGTCAGAATCAAATTGAGGCAATATTCAATAAATTTGAATTTGCATGTACTTCTTTCTACACTTCACCTGAGTCCAAGTGATAATTTATTAATCTACTGTATTGATGTATCTGAAGCGTAAAATTATGGAAGCTATTTAATCAAACTCTCCACTACTTTTCTACTATCTTCCAAAATGAAAAGACACTGAGAGCATAATGAAAAAGAAGACTTCAGTTCAAAAATAATTGAGAATCATCAAAATATAGACTTCAATACTATTATTTTAGTTGCAAAATCAATCGTGCAATCAATTTAAGAATTTTAATCAGCACATATGTGGTAAATTAATCGATCAATCAAAAATTAACTTTAAAACATTATCGTTCAAAGAAAACATCAGCTTCCACAAAGTTTAAGTTAGTCACCGTGCGACGTTAAGCCCACAATATGACATGAAGAATTGAGAAAGGAAGAGGGGAAAAAAATACGACTTGCGATCCCTCGAGGATTTATCACGAGAAGAGGAGATCCAACTGGAATAGGAAAAGATGGAGGCCGAGGCTATTGAAAATGAGAAATCTTTTCAGACGAGGTTGAAATATATCTTTAAACGGAAACTAACGTGGATACGAGATGCCAGTCGCGAGAACTCAGCAACTGAGAATATTTATGATGCGAATCGGCCTGGTAAAATTCCTGAGGGATGTTGGTCGCCACACGAAGGCCGAATAAATGCGGTCTGCCGACCCATTTCAACGAGTGGACAAGAGTAGATTTTGGGGCTAATTTACTAAGATTTCATTTGGTGTTGGTAGATTATGCATTATGATTGTTGCGCAATTATGACTTGATTGTTTTCCGAGTAGGATGTTTATTTCCTTGGTTAACGTTAATTAGGATACCGTTGTGGCCTTGGTTCCGTGAAATATTTCGAACAGGGGGTGGAATATTTGAATCTCGCCTCTCCTTTAATTTTACATTACAGCTCGTTCGAATTAACCTTTCGTGTATTAAATCGCGCTATCGTTATTACTTTTATCGTGATTTTTTTTTTTTTAACTTGATATCAAAGGAAGTGAATTTGAATTTAATCCTTTGATCTTATAATACACCACTGTTTTTATTCAACAGAAATTTCAATTATTTATAATTTGAATAAATAAAACTCGACGTTCTTGTATATAATTTGTTTTGGCACTTAAAATTAATTTTTCAAAAGAACCGCATATATTGCTAAAATGTATTCATTAAACTCTCAAATAATATTTGAAGATATTTTTTTCAACAGGCGATAAATACGTACGATTATAGAAGTCAGATTATTCTTGTTCGTTGCCATGATAAAATTAAAAACTACTATTATATACCGCGTGCACGCAATAAAGCTTCCCCTTTGTACTCTTAAATATGTATGTCTCTCTAGTGTTAGCGCAATTTTATATCACCTCGGAAAACTCGGAAAAAATGCTTGTAAACTCTGGTCGCGGGTTCTAAACATGCATAGCTCGTGACGGAATTTTAAAACAGATGATAATAATAAAATATCAGAATTACACGAAGGATTAATGAAGACAATTTTTACGAGTACGTCGAGTTTCTTTTAAGTATAATTTATCGTAGATGTGTAAAATATTCAGATTTTATTTCTTGTAAAATATATATTTCCAAACGGAATTTTATTTATAACGAGAGCAAAAAAAAAAAA